CCTTAATTCGCGCACCGTCTCGGACTAGTATTAACTAGTCCTACATGCCTCATAACAAAAGGCTTAGATAGACCAACAATCAGCTCGGTCAGTTGGCCATTATCCCAACACTCCTTGGTCACTAGGTTCGTGAACCAAGTCTGAAGGAACAATTTACCCAAATGACTCCTTCAGCTACCAAAACGTCCGTCTGTTAAATACTATCAGTAAAAGCTGAACTTGACATTTAATAATCCAACCTTATAGCAAACGATGTTTACAACAAGTTTTTTCCGTTTTGCCTCATCACAACAATCGTGAACACCTATGCTAGGACAACGAAAGACTCTTGATGTGTTGGGAACAAATGTGTCCACATTCCTGTTAATGGGTTAGCCCGGACGACTTTTAAAGTACTGGTCATTTTGAACAGCACACAGACTGTGTACGTTGTAGTTAGGCGATAACACCATATAATCAGAAGCGTACTAGTGTTCTGGTTTTAGAAAGTGTAACGGAGTCGTGTGATACATACTCATCCTTGGAGAAGGTAGGAAGGAAAGTAGCCACTAGCAAACTGGGTAGGAACGATGCCAATTTCCAAATCTCACAAGATGTAAGCATGTTAAGGGTACTACGCCAGAAGTATCAGTGATTATTCCTCGGAAATCCGCAGCATGAGATGAAACAAAAGAAAATGGTTCTAAGACATTGTGTAGAGGCCAAACAAGTTGGCAAATACATTTCTCGAGTAGGAATGGATCTTGCCTTTCTCAAAACGCCTCTAGCTCATAATATGAAACTCATTTAGTAGAGTAAGCCTTTGCTGGTACTTGGACAGCGTAATTATGCATGAAGAAAGGAAATAGTGTTTGCGTTTGGATGTCGTTGGTGGTTGAGACATTTTAGGACAGAGATACAACCAGTTTTGTGCATTAGTTTACTTGACCCGTAAAGGAGACGGATTAACATTGATTGCACAGCTTTCCAGTTCCAGAATTAGAAGGAAGAATTGATTTATGAACATTTTACACTCCAACCACTAAACCTCACGTAACAGACCCAGAAGATTAATGGCACCTACCTCTTTATACATAAAACGGTCGTGTTCACCATGTTCGTTGTTCTTAAAGCACTCGGAACATAGGTAGGTATTTCCCTCCTCCACAGATTGCTCCAAGCATGCCTGACATCGGTAGAGATTTCCGTAAACCGGGGTACACTGGCAGCTGAGACACACTGTGCGCGAATGAGCCGGCCTCAGAATCCGCTGAAGAGGCTGGACGGCAGGGAAGACAGTCATGGGAGCATTACGAGAACTTTTAACTCCAGTGTCTGTCACATCTTTTGTGCTTTCGTGGATAAGTAGCCCCAGTGGACCGAATTCGCCACGGCACACTGGACAAGGAACAACTTCTGACAAGCCTGTGCAGATAACATGGAGCAACTGTTACCCTTACACATCTGGTTGAGTAGACAACAGCAAATTTCATCACAGCATAGTGAAGCGGAGTTCTACATATGTTGGTTTAGCCTCGGTGTTTAAGTAACGGTATGGAAAGATGTTTGCGGTTTAATGTGAACGATATGGAGATCAAGGATGGTTCCTCAAGGTTGGTTTTATCATCTGTCCTGTAGGAAATTACTTGACTGTGTATTACCCTTAGCGAGTGATTTGGATCAGTTCATTGTGAACAACGTCACGTACTCAACCACATTTGAGAGATCGGTGCAATTTTGACATCTGGTTAGTCTGGTTTAATTGGTTACGGCTGCTATGTTGATTTTTACGGCTGATGCAGTGACGCGGACAGGTTCAACAAAATATCACCAGTTCCTTCTTACATACAGAATTGTAAAGAGCAACACGAACAAGGAATGTTTTACTAAATTTTCTCACCTATGGTCTTTTCTCTTCGTTGATGGTCAGTCCACACGCGCATACAACGGATATGCACACTGTTTCCGCATCCCTTACGACAATAGGTGACGGGGTTTCGCTTCTCAGAGAGTAGTTCATCTTGACAGATTGGACAGATGTCCCCCGCACCAATGAGCCGCTGTTTGAGCACTCCATTCTAGCGTAAGGGACGAAGGTAATGGATTATGATGGTTTAGATATGCCTACCTCAGTTTTAAAGATTTCGGGCGAATTTGCTTCAGCTCTTTTAGGGGTGATTTCAATACTTTGGCTGTGTTTCCCGTCCAGGAGGTCCACTATTTCCCTTTCAACCAAGCCAGGCTGCCAGCTAACTGACAGAGGGTCGTATAACTAGCCCATTGCAGTGCTTACCCGGATCATCAGCATCCACTTTGAATTTTTTAAGCATAATCCAATAAATATGAACGCATGGTTCACCGGTGCTTTTAAAACTTCCACAGGAGCACTCATGCCGTCCCCCGATTTGAAGCTGTGACAAAAGGGAAGTCGAAATGGATGATAATTCATGCGCTTACTGGTTCAATAAGCATCACAAACGTCGGGCATTCCCTCTGTAATCAATGCATAAACTCAAGAAAGAACGGTAACCAGAGAATAAAAAATGCATTCTACAAGTAGCCGAATAGAATAACAAGCAGTGACTAGATTAATATATCGTAAGCAGTCAACTACAAGACACTGCATAAGAAGCAATAGTAAAATGCAAAAAGCAGGGAGAATGGTGAGTTTTTGGTGTTGCGCAAGCCCAACACTACTCTGTATGACTAGTTTCGTCCATGTCTGAACGGTTCCAGTAAGGAATCCGGAACTGAGAGTGGAATTCGACTCGAAGCGGCTGACAGTTCAGAGCTTGAGTTCAGCTGCCAACAGTTACAAGAATAATAAGACTTTCCTCCCAGTTGTTCGCCTTCACTCTTTGATTCACTGTGCACTGCTCCCCGCATCTTCCTTTAAGTTGGCCATTCGTTTAGTAGTTTGAAGCAGGGTACTGCAAAAACTGCGTACTGCATCATCCACCTTTTGCTAACGAAACTAATGTTCGGCCACTAAACGGTACTACGGAGTCAAATCCAGCAGCCGATAAGGTTTAGCAGCAAAAGAAACGCTTCCGCAGCTGAGTGTCTATAAATGTATATATATATATATATATATATATATATATATATGCAACGCGATACAATTACGCAAGTTTATCACAATTTGCATGAGCGACGTGTGCAAGTTGGGAGAAGATTATCAAGTACACAGAACAAACTAAATAAAATGTAAGGAATTTTATCCACATTAAAAAGACCTAGTTAAAGTGTAAGTCGGTTTAGCCCAACTGCCGTGAAGAAGCATCATGAATGCAACATCATGCCTCAGCATGGGGCACACATACATACATGGTTGGCGGCATCTGGTTTCGGATTTGCCTGTCACTGTGGCCAGCCACAGGACGCCTGCGTCTACAGAGGGACCACGGGTGGCTTGCGCTGCACTACACACAGCGATCTAAATGTCACGGATCTGACCATGTGCTCGCTCGAAGTGACTTTATCTTTTACAAATGTGCCGTTATTTGCAACTTTAAATTACATCTGTGATTAGGTCGAAGAAAACCAGGTAGCTATTGGCATACCTACGGTGGCGCTAAAGGAACTGATGCCTCGATGCACTTTCAACATCCATTTTCTGTTTAACGGGGAATTGTATCCACAGCACCATGGAATTGTCATGGGCTAGCCAATTGGACCGTTTCTCGCTGACGTATTCATGGGTATACTTGAACAGGGCAAGCTGAAATCTGTCATCACGAATCTCAGACTCCACCGCCGTTCCGTCGGTGATATCTTTGCACTGCTCCACTTCTCTCGAACTATTCAAAATCTTACTATTGAATTCAATCAAGCGCACGAAGCACTGAACTTCACCTCCGAAGTAGAGGTGAATGGTACTTTTCACTTCCTCCAAGTGGCAATGAAGCGAGTCAATAGTGGTATGTTACAACGTCACGTGTATAAGAAACACACGTGGAATGGACAATACCTGAATTTCCACAGTTTCGTCCCACTGATATTAAAACGGAACCTAATCCTCAGTCTAATGAGTACAGCAGAAAGAATTTGCTCGAACGAAACGTTTCCCGAAGAACTGAAACGCATGAGTTCGACGCTGAGAGGAAGTGGTTACTCTGACAGTTTCCTGAAAGCCAACATGGGACAAAGGAAGAAGGCTCCCGTAACCCTTACAGTCCAGAGAAAACCCGTATTTCGCCAACTATCACACAAGGGAGAAATCGCTACTGAAATCATAACTCGTCGCCTTTCTCATGCGCTGAGACACACTTTCCCAGTAGCTAAAATGCAAATCCAGTTCGCCGTTAACCCAATGGTTAGAACTAGCTCCAAAGACAAGAGGGCCGTCCACACCAAATCAACGTGTATTTACTCGTTCTCCTGTTCCTGTAGGGCAGGGTACATAGACCGAACGACGAGCCGCCTGTCTGAAAGGGAGAAAGAACACCATCCGGCTTGGCTCATGACCGCTTGTCAAAAACAAACCAACTCATCCATAGCCACGCATCTCGCCGACATTGGCCACGCCACCAACTTGGCTGAGTCATTCAAAGTGATCTACCACGTACCAGAAAATCGATCAAAGTGCGTTCGTAGGCGTTTGCTTGAATCCGCGGAGGCCATCGCGATTCGATTGTGTGTGTTCAGAAACGGCTCATTCAGACATTAAAACTGCCTTGGCCCACCCGAACTGCGACATCCGGCTCACGAAATGGAGTGTACGCCGCACTTGTGACCTAATGGATAGTGATTGTGCTTGGTCAGTGACTATGAACAGAATTTGTCATACCAGACTTTATGTTGTGTCAAACAGTGCTTTTTTCCACATATAATTGTACAAGCGTGAAGAGGAATCATTGAAAACTTGTGTTCGCTTGCATCGAGTTTTAATTATGCAAAAGTATATTACGCTGGGAAATGAGATCATGGTTGGAGGGGAGGCTAAACAAGAAGAAGAGGGAAAAAGAACCGCACAACACAAACGCCACTGAGGTGGGCTCCTAGCCATGTCAGCAAGTGTACCCAGACAAACGTGTTTATTGTCTTGCAGACCCCTAGCAGGGAGCCGAGGACAGCTTCGAAGTAAGGGCCCTCATTCCTCTTGATCAAATCGTCGCTTGGCCCTCTCACTTCTTCTACCATTCACACCCTGGCGCAAAATCAAAGCACTTCACGAAAGGCGGTGAGTTGGCATGTGCAATACGTGGCCCACTGCTCCTTATAAGGCCAAACTGTCCCGTTTCCCTGACTGCGTTCAACGTTCTCACTCTAAGACAAATAGGTCAACAGACTGCACTTGCACGCACTTTGGACACACTGGATATTGGCGTGTGCTGTGTGTCCGAAATCAGGAGCAATGACGCTCACGAGCTGTTGAATTAAGTGCGCCCGGCTTGTCCTCTAGCTATTGGTTACACGCCTCCGGAGAAGCTGATGCAGCACTCAGCGGTCAAGCAAGGGTGGTGTATCATTCTCAGCCCCAAACCTGAGCCATCGTTGGTTAATTGGATTCCCGTGAACAGCCGTTTGTGTGCAGCTTGTTTGACGACATCAACTAAGGTTGATTCACAAAGTAGTACAAGACGCTGTTTGCGGTTTCCGCCGACTGCGGTTCTGGTGCTGCCAAGGACACCTTTTATACCATGAATTGAACACGCTACTACGCAGTGATTCCAGTTCAAATATCATAATTATTGCAGGGTATTCGAATGCGCAAGTAGGTCGTCTGACCTCTTCAGAAGCTTTGCTAGGTGGCAAGTATGCACTCAACTCCGGACGGACAAACAATGACCAGCGTCTGTTACAGCTGTGTGAGGAGAATTGGCTGTTTCTGAGTAGCCCCGAAGTGCTACTTGGCGCCCTTCTGTAGCTGACCAAATAGATCACGTTGCCATAAGTTACAAGTGGTGTGGTCCTATCATGGATTGTCGCTCATTCCGGAGTACTTGCGTAGACTCCAGTCTTGCCTTAGTACGCTGTTGTTTATCCATCACCTATACCGCGATGCATACCAAATGCTTCTGTCGATTGGCAAGTGAGAATTAATCACAGCCCCCGGTCAGGCAAGCTTACCAAGACGCACTGAGCATCGAAGTTTCGTGCTCTTTTCCTAATAACACTAAGCTTCAAGGAAACAAAACCTCGGCGGCCTTGTAATATGCAGGAGGCTCCGCTTGCGACACTAGCAATCTCCATCGCACCAGTAATCGGATATCCGAGAGGTCGATGAACCTATTGGAATCCAGAATAAAGATCCCGGCTGGTTCTGAACACACTGTGGCCAGACGGATTATTAGGTGTGAACTAAGGCGGAGCCTGCGAGCTGACAAGGAAGCCTGGTGAACCAGCCGGGTTCAAGAAATGCAGGGGCAGTAGGTAATTCTCACAAGTTCTTCCAGATGATCCGCACCACTGGTCCCAGGAAATCAGGTGTCAGTGAAACAATCAGAGAGAGCGCGGGTGCCTTGACTCACAATAAGGAGCGCCGTTGGGCTGAGCACTTTCGAAAACAGTTTATTTGTCCCCCTGCTTCTTGACTTCTTGCTAATCAGGTGTGACAGGATGAGCCATGACCAATTAGTTAAGTGACTGCTCCGGAGGCTGAGGTCGGAAACGCGATGACAGCGCTCAATCGTTTTCGTGCTGCTGGCCCGGAATCCCTCGCACATGCATTAGTTACGGATGGCAGTGAGGCCCACTGCAAGGCACTGAACTCCCTGTTCGACCAGGTCTAAAAGGCAGAGGATATCCCAGCTAACTGGAGTGAATCAATTATGGTGGAGATATACAAGAATGGCAGTCGCGCCGATTGCGATAATCACCGGGGTTTTAGCCTAACGCCAATTGTGACAAAAGTACCGGCCTCAATCCTCGTTCGTCGCCTCATTGCGGAGCGCGAATCCAGGATTAGGGAAGAGGAGACAGGCTTCCACTCTGGGCGGGGCTGTGTGGACCACATATTCTCTCTGCGTCAGGTGCCAGAGCAGCGCCATACATACCGCCGCTGAAAATTCACCTATCATGAGTGCACAGAAGCGTATGCTAAACTTGAGTTGACTTGAGAATCGGTGTTTCTCGATTTCAAAAGTGCACTTGACTAAGTGGACCTATGAATTCTATTCAAAATACTTCCACAGTAAGGTGTTCTCATGGAATATTTGAACACTTTGTGCTTTGTACTCGAACACTACAGGTGGCATCAGGGTCTACGGTGACCTATCGGGTGCCTTTCCAACAACAAGTGCTGTTTGTCAGCGTTGTCCAATTTCCCCCATTTTATTCATCTTCGTCGTTGACTCCATCATGGTGTGTTCCCTTACGGAATGCCAAGATGTAGGCGTCAATGTGTGGCCTAGAGAAAAGCTAGTTGACCATGAGTATGCGGACGATATCGTCCTGCTTTTTAACGATT